ATGTGTAAAACTGTGAGAGGAGCAGTTTTTCTTAAGCAGTGGGAGTATGTTTCTTTAATAAATTATTGAGATATGGGTGATTTTATGATGCTCGAATTTTTATTTAAGTTTGTGTAAGGGATTTACGGAAAGAGTTTTAAAAAACTGTTATATGTAATATTTGTAGTATAGATACTAGATATAGACTATTATATTTTTAAAAATTGTAAAATATAAAAGCAGCCAATATGAATCTTGAGTTCAATATTGTGTTTTTATACACTTTCAATAATAAAATATCTTTTGGATACAAAATTCTAAACAGTTATTAATATCTTTATATACTTTTAATTGTTGCCTCTTTCATAATTGCAAATTATCTTAAATTTTCTTTGTTAAGTTTTGTAAAAACACCATACTGACTTAGTTAAAATACACTAACTCAGAATATTATACAAAATATTCACTAGCTACAGTTGCTCTAGTTACCTATTATCTTTAAAGAAGTGGATATAGGATAACAATATCACATAATCAAATTAGTTTTATTTATCTTATATATTTAATATATAATTTACTAACATTATTATAATATTATTTTATATATAACTTTCTAATATCATTATTATATTATTACTAAATATTTCCTAACAACCAAAAATAAAAACCCTATACTTGCAAAAACAACATAGCTAGCATTATTGCATATTTCAATTCTAACTAATACTAAGCAATTCAGTCTGAGATTTTGCCAAATATAGGGAATTGCTAAAGTAGAGCAATTAAAAAAGTTACTTTTTTGATGCAGTTAGGATAGATGTTTTATTTGCATATATGAAATGTATACCAGGTTATGCATATTATCAATTATAAACCATCAATTAATCTAATGCTCATCTAGACAATTTATATTAATTAATATAAGATATTTCAATTAAATTTATTACAAAAAACTTAAAAATTCAAGTATTTTTAAACATAAAATTTGCTAAGAAACTTTTCAAAAAATATCCAACATTAATTTTTCATTAAGGCATTAAAATTATTATATGATAATTATTTTTCGCTTCTTATATATTAAAGTTAATATGTAATAAATAAATTATTATTAGTCAAAGTATAAAAAATTACTTATTAAATAATAGATGACATAATTTGTATATCAATATAAATTTTAATTTTCTCAATACCATTGTTCTCTTTTAATTGCGAACCTTTTTTATATACTTTTTGATATCAGTTGTTTTTTTTTTACCTTAACTATAAAAAGCATTTCCCATATATTACTATACTGTTATCGTTATAGCACAAGTTACAAATATGAAAACTAGTAATACTACGAATAATATTGTACAAGTTAAAAAATTTTTTATAAACAAAGTCAAAAAAATAATTTTTAAAAATATTAGTTTAAATTTATCTAGAACTTTGTCTATTATATACTTATCTATATAAGAAACCAGTTTGTAATAGAGTTTTTTTTTTGATTTTGACAGGTTTTTTATAATCAATTTTGTACTACTATACCAAGTTCTTATCTGTAGCAACCCCTGAAGAGACATTTCTAGTAAAAATACAAAATCATCTAACAAAATCTGTAAGATTGAATCTATATTTAATATATATATTATTTATACGTATAATATAATAATTTATTAGAATACATGATTCATTAAATATACAGATATATTTATTTATTTTATAGATTTTTTCTTGGGAGCTACTACCAGAAATTTTGAAGCCAGTTCTTCCTATAAATTATACTTACCTAATTTAAAATTTTAAAAATTTTATCCTATTTTGAACAGAAAAAAATTTTGAAGTACCTAATTTTAAACTAGATGCATTTGTCAACATTAATAATATAGAAAAAGTATATGAATAGTTTACAGAATTCCAAGCCTAGACCAAAACAACAATGTCAGAAACAAAAAGATTTGAAATTAAAGAAAAATATACACTTTTTAGAGAACTACATCACTATATTTACAGCAATAAAGTAAAGAAAAGCAGAGCCATCATGAAATAAAGAATCTATATTCTTTTTGGGCAAGAAATATGTATTATACCGCTACTATCCATCTTCACTTAAAGTATCAATATCTTTTACTAAGTCATCTATTGAAAATTAATATAGAATTTAAGCATAATTATATTATTAATTTTGTATTATCATTAAGTTTTTGGCATGTTGATAATAAAGTCTGTGAGAATTTTATTAACTTATTTCAAGATAAATACTCTCTAGTTTCAGCATTACATGTTTTTGAAGATGACCTCTATTTAAATACTACAAATAAGCAGGAGCTATTAGAAATTTTAGCAGATCGAGCCTATAATCTAGATTATGATTATATTGCTAAGTTGTTTTAGCAGTATCGAGATAATATACTTGGGGGTCATAATAGAAAATTGATATTTGAATATCTAGCTGCTATAGCTTTAGAATATCACAATTCAGATCAGAGTAGAGAGATTTTACAGGAGTATAATACTAATTCTGAAAATACAATTATTCTATATATTATTATAAACTTGATAGCTTAAATATATGAAAAGATCTCTCAGGCACAAGAAATCTGTTATATAAATGCATCTGCTTATTTGATCCTCTTAACACATCTATCATGCTTTTATATATAAGCTGTATAGCCAGTGCTTTCTCGCTTAGACTTCTTATTATGTCAGATAAGCAAGAAATTACAATAGAAAAAGCCGTAATAATTACTATATTTAAAAAAAAATTTATTTATTTATATTATTTATTTATTTTTTTTATTAATATTTATTCTGTTTTACTTATTTACTATTTAGTTAACTTTGATAAAAATGATTCTCTCACTATATGCATTTTATGGACAGAAACCACAAGTTAGACCAACAGTTTTTTTAACTAATAATTCTAATTCTGAGTATAATGCTTTAAAAACATGCTAGCCTGAAAGTAATTAATTAAGGATATTTTAAGCAGCTTAATTAGTAAAAAAAAAATTTGTATCGTATATATGAGTGTTATTATTTTTATAAGCAAACTTTAAGTGCCTTCCATTTTATTAAAGTTATACTAATTTAATTCGCTCAAATAATATTATTGATTTTGAGAAAATTTGAAGCTAGTAAATCTGCATAGTTCATTCTTAATATTATTCTAATTATTCAGATCTAATTGTTGAACATATATAGATTCTAGATATATTTTTTTTGTTTTAATTGGATTTAGTATAGAGTTTAATAAAATGTTTTAACTTTTTTAGGAATTCATTTACTGTATATATTTCACTTTTTACAAGCATTTTGGAGATAGATTCATGATTCTAAACACCAAATTAAGAAAGAAGATCAGATGCATATTATAGAAAGCATAAAAAAAATTTTTATATTCATTATCAAACTTAGAAATAGATATATACTATGAAAATTTTAAGCAGAAATATTATTATAAATACTCACAATTAAAAAGACATGTTGAATATTTATAGGAACATCAACAGTTTTGGGCTTTATTTTTTCGGCTCAGGTTGTTTTTACATGGTAACAATACAAACAATTATGTTAAACAAGACTTTGGTATTATAAAGGATATAATTTTTTTAAAGACGCAAGCTTATAACCCAGTACAAATATTTTAGTTTATAACAACAAGCATGGAACAATTTTACAAGAGGAGGTTGCTCAGAATCACAAACATGCATTCAGGAGTTTTACGTATGGCAAAACATTTTTTCTACTCTGGATGGGAAACAATTGATCCTAATACAATTCAAAAAATAAATATGGTAAATAAATATTTGGTACCAAGTATGAATAAAAATAATAGTATACATTATATTGTAAATAGCAAGATTGGTATTTGTTCTTGTTCTATTGCGATGTCTGGTACCTCCTGCAAACATCAGGGAGCTGTTGCAGCAAAATTTTATGTTTTAATTTTCAATTTTATTTTATCACTAATTCCAGATGATCATGCAACTTATGCATATATAGCTCTTGGTAAATATAATTATATAATTTTCTCTAATATGTAATATAATATAATATAAATTGGGTTAGTTATTTTCTAAATTCTCTTTCAATTAATTTATTTTTAGGCTATACTACCCAGAATAAGTCATTCTATGCATTATTATATGCATGACCTATATTGAGAAATCAAGAAAGTTTATACACTAGAGATAAAGTATAATTATCAAGAACCAAATGGAAGTAAATTTTTTTTTATTTTTATTAATCAGAAAATTATATATTTTACAGTTTTTTTATAATTTTAGAGAACTTGAAGTATTGAACAAAGAGGGCAAAAATACTATAGAAATTAATAATTCTAATTTTACTTGTTTTTGAAAGAGAATCAATTAGATTATTAAAATGCTAATCAACTATTGCGAATTGCACTAGATAAGTTTAAGGATCATTATAATTTAGCAAAATCAAAATTTGTTTCACAACTGTCTTCCTTCCTTTATAACATTAACTGCAATCTGAACCCTATAGCTCATATCAAAAGTGGTGCTCATATTGTGTTTAAGTAGAATCGATCAAATGATGCAGTATCAAGCAAAAACCAGCTATTAAAAATAAAAAAAATGAAAATCTGGATCCTCAAATTATTCCTACTCAAAAGAAGAGGAAAACAGGCAAAAAGATATATAATTTATACATAAATGTATCTAAAAATTAGTTAAATTGAAATGAGGCGATTATGATGAGATTATAGATTATAATACAATTTTTCAAGAATATTAGAATATCTGATTCATTTTTTTTAAAAAATAATTTGAATAAACTTTTTATTCTATATATACCATATATTTTAAAGTTACAAATTGGTTACAATATATAAATTTATTAAATAAGTAAATATCAGGTATAATCTGTAAGTTACAAAAATTTTAATTTCAATTCGCTATAAAGAGTGCACATTAATTTGGGATACATAGCAATATTTATTAGTTTATACATTTTTTTAATAGACTGTCACAATTTATTCCTCTATATATTATTCTATTACAACAAAAAAAGAAGTATATGATGATAGGAATGATATAAAGAGGAAGCTATCTCTTAAAATGTTAGATATAAAAAATGTTCAAAGCTTTGAGTTTGAAACTTGGTTATAATTTGCAAAGACCCAAAAATACTAATTAAATTAATTTGGGTTTTACGTACAAAAAGCAAAAATTAAAATTAATTCTATTTTTGTATATTTAATAATTTTTGCATTATTTAAAGACCGGTAATATACATACAAGTTATTTAAATAATGTACATATGTATATATAATAAAAGCAAAAATAAATCATTGCAAATAAACCTCCATTTCTGCAGGATGTCCACAGTGACAATAACAGTCAATCAATATGTCACGCAGATTATGTGTATAAAATTTTTAATAGTGGGTCAAATGATCGATGCACCCAAATTTTATAAGTAAAATTTTGCTTAAATTTGCTTTCTAGGCTTATTTAACAATAAAGAAGTTGTTAGTTT